GCCTCCCCACGGCCCTGCCGAGGTCAGCGCTGGCCCTCCCGCATGCCCCAGGCCCCCAGCCTGTGTCCCTGGGCTCCTGTTCAGCCCGCCCGGAGCAGCTCCGCCTCGGGCTCAGGGTGGCCCTCCGTGGGGGGGCGGTACTCCGTGGGGGCGTCCGTACTCCGTGGGGGCGGTACTGTGTTGGGGAAGGTACAGTGTGGGGTGTCAGTACTCCGTGGGGGGTGGTACTGTGTGGAGGGTCAGTACTCTGGGGGGGGCGTCAGTACTCTGTGGAGGAGGACAGTACTCCAAGGCGGGGTCAGTACTGCATGGGGACATACTCCATGGGGGGCAATACTTCGAGGTGGGGTCAGTACTCTGGGGGGGGCGTCAGTACTCTGTGGAGGAGGACAGTACTCCAAGGCGGGGTCAGTACTGCATGGGGACATACTCCATGGGGGGCAATACTTCGAGGTGGGGTCAGTACTCTGGGGGGGGCGTCAGTACTCTGTGGAGGAGGACAGTACTCCAAGGCGGGGTCAGTACTGCATGGGGACATACTCCATGGGGGGCAATACTTCGAGGTGGGGTCAGTACTCTGGGGGGGGCGTCAGTACTCTGTGGAGGAGGACAGTACTCCAAGGCGGGGTCAGTACTGCATGGGGACATACTCCATGGGGGGCAATACTTCGAGGTGGGGTCAGTACTCTGGGGGGGGCGTCAGTACTCTGTGGAGGAGGACAGTACTCCAAGGCGGGGTCAGTACTGCATGGGGGCATACTCCATGGGCACAGTACTCCAGGACCGGAAGGCAGTGTGGGGCCACTGGCCTGTCCAGGACGCCTGTACTGGGGCTGGTGCAACAGAGCTCCCTGAAGAGCCGCCAAGAGCAGGGGAACTTCAGTCCTGGGGTGTCCTGAGTCTCCCCACTCCGCGGCCTTTTTTTTTTTTTTTTGCTAGAGGGTGTGTGAGGTCGCCAGAGAGAGACAGACCCAGGGAAGGACGCGTCCACGGCGTGGCCATGTGCAGTCCCTCTGTCAGGATTCTCACACCACACGGGCCCAGTGTTTGTCCAGCCGCCTCAGCCAGGACTTGAACTGCCCTCATGACCTGCGTGGAGCAGGCCCACGGGGAGCCCCTTTAGCTGAGGTCTCTCTCGTCTCTCCAGAGAACCCTGCACGTCCCCCACACATGCCGCAGCCTGCCCTGCTCGCCTGTTACTGCTACTCCAGCCCACGGGGCCTGGGCCTGGGGACCCAGGACAAGCCAGGTGCAGACCAGGTGATCAGACCTACTGTGTGCGCGCTGAGCAGCCACCCAGAAGGGCTCCCCGGAGGAGGCAGCTGAGCTGAGTCCTTAGGGACAGCGGGTTCATGTGTGGGAAGGCTGTGGGGCAGGAAGGGTGAGCATGTTGGGGAAGCCTGGCCAGGGTGTATGTTGGGGTAGAGGAGGGAGAGGCGGCAGACAGAGCCCGGGCAAAGGGGGGACTCCCCAAGTGTCTGGGACCAGGAGCACCCTCCAGGCCAACGCCGAATCGCTAGGCGAGGCTGGGCCCCAGGGGTTGGAATACGCCAGGTGAGTGTGAGCGAGTGCGTGTGCCTGGAGTCCCACGCAGCGCTTCCTCCTCCCTCCCTCTGTCTCTGCTGCTCTCTGCAGAGCGCACGCAACCCTGTGTCAAAAAGAACAGAAACACAGGCCGGGGGCACGGTGGTTAGGGCACCGGACTCCCACGGGGCACCGTTCGCAGTCTCAGTCTCTGTTCAGATTAGACAATAAATAAAAAGACCAGCAGCGGCATAATGGTTACCCCACTCGCTGTTCAGGTCCCAGACCCGGAGGTTCGAGAGTCATGCTGGGTGCAGGTGTGTACCCAAAGCCCTGTGAGCAGAACGGAGAAGGGATTGTGGCGTGGCTGTCCCCCAGGGGCATGATTTCTCACTGTCCGTCTCTGTGTGTTTCTGTGGTGAACACATGTGCACTAGAGCAAAAAATCTCAAATAAGTGGTGGTTGACCATGGTTCGAATCCTGGACCGGGCAGCTCACTTTCTTTTTCTTACTCTTTCCAGCCAAATTTTTAAAATAGTAATAATAATAAATACAATTAAAATAATTTTTAAAAAAATAAAGAAAAATTAAATAAATGATTTTTTTTGGAGAGGTTTCTGCTATAGGGCATGTGCGCTCACCAGAAAGACAGAGACAGAGAGACAGACAGTGAGAAATCACCCCCCAGAGGGGATGGCCATGCCACAGTCCCTTCTCCATTCTCCTCTCAGGATCTTGGGCACA